AGCCACACCGACCACAACAGAACATAAACAGAGTTTTAACAGCTCCTGTATAACCAACTCACGCTTCATCATGACAAACTGCTTCACTACAATTCTCTCTCATGCGCCCCACACACATATACACACACAGCCATTCACAGACAGACAAACACTACTAGTATAACACACAGTAGCCTACCAGAAACGTCATTGATCGCTAGTTTTAGCCCGGAAAAATCCGTAAATTAGCCGGATCCTTTGTTTAACCCGCAGAGTTCAAAGCGTGTGAAAAAAGTAGCGGCTTATAGACCGAAAATTACAATACTCGCAGAAATTGAAGGAAGGCACAAACAGACCTCGTTTTTTTAAGTTTTACAGCTGTCACCTAATAGAAGATACTTTCATTGTTCTAAATATTAGTAATTAAATATTAGTTTTCAGACTGAAAGAGTGAAATTGGACAATTTTTCAGGGTCCTGATGTTCACTTACGACACATCAATGTGCTATGGAACAGTAGCTGGGAATCACTGCCTGAGACAATGTGTTAAAAATGTGTTTTATGTCACAATAACGGAAACAAATCTTGCTATTTAATCTGCCCTAAAGCCATAATGCACTGCCAAGTATTTCACACATTTTCAGAAGGTCACAGGAAATGAAGCTCACAAGGAAGAGGATTAAAAACAGGTGGAAAACTAGAAGAGGAAACATTCTCTTTTTCTTTGCTCTCAACAAACAGCACTTTGGCTAACACCCAATGATTCGCCTTGGCTGATTTGTCCCACTTCTATTCTTCCTTTCTCTTTGTGTGTGTGTTTTCTTGTCTCTCTAAAGTTGTTATTATAATTTCCTGTCCATGAAAAACCAAATTATCTGTGAAATCATTCAGATTTTACGCCTTCATGCTAGTTGGGACCCTGCTCAGTGTTTATGTGAGTGCTGCAGTCCATTTCCTGAGCAGAAAACCTGTGAAATTTGGAGAATTAGCTGAATAGAGGAAAATCACACGCAGTCATTATCACTAAGTAATCTCTCTCTCTCTTTATTTTAAAGTCATTTCAAATACAAATCTTCAACTTTGGAATCACTGATCACTGTCTTTATGCGTCTACCCCAGCGTCCTGCTAACTTTTTCTACTTTTGTTTTCTAGGTATCCCTCAGTGACTTAGTACACAAATACACCACTAGTATATATATATATATATGTATATGCAAAGAGAATAGTATCGTCTCAAGCAAATGCAACGGAGAAACACGGACAAAAGTGATATGATTTTTAGCCTGTAATCAAAGGGACAAGGAGAAACTTGAGCTTTTATGGCGTGATGCTGTGGGTCTATTAATCAAGGTATTTTGTCCTGAGAAGACCAGCAGGAAAATCACCCATCAATGTTCTGTAAGGTCAGCTCTTCAACCTGATTAACCCTTGACCTCATCTCATGTCCTTCTTGCATTTCCACATATCCTTTTCAGCTCAAATTCTTTCTCTGCAATTATGTTTATCCTATATTTGGTCTCCCTGACTGGTGCTCTCCCTGGGGTCTTCTCTTGCAGTCGGAGGGTAATGGTCGTTGAAATAGGGGGTGCCAAAGGCTCCATTGGACTCAATGTAGACCATAATGTATTCAGGTCTGTGGGGAGAACTTGGAGGTCAATGTTTTCTTTTGTGCATTGCCGTGCTTGACAGTTACTGGAATGTGATATGCGGTATTCAGTACTGGTAAAAGTTAACTTGGATAATCAAACACGTTGGATTTTTTAAAGCATACATATACAAGAGGGTGTCTGTCTGTGAATGCATACATGAAAAAGCATCCTAGCATCGTGCCTTGGATCCCTCACAGTTGCTGTATACTAATGAAGTACAGTTGTGTCTGTTCAGCCCAGGATCTTGGAGTAGTCTTTTGCCATGCACTGGCAAAAACCCTGCAACACTTCAAACACGGCACATGCTGATTTGGCCTAGATACTGGAAGCACTCCTCACGTGTGCTTTGCACTTAGAGTAGGCAGCTATGTACTGTTAACACAGAAACCAGGCGTGTTTACTGACAAGCACTTCAATAAATATGGTTAGTAAGACTATATATGTATATAATGTATATATATATATATATATGGTGTATATAATACATTCTACAATATATATACATTATACATTATTTTGTATAAAGTCACAGTATTGGATCAAAACTTTGATCGCTCTGTATAAACCCCCCCCCTGCCCCCAAAAAAACATCTCTATCTACTTAAACTCACAACAACTGAACACTTGCACTCATGCTTTGGTGGTCCAAATGAAAAAGTTACGTTGGCGTTCTAATCAAGAACGCGGGGCGTAGCTTTATTTGTATTGAACTGGGTATGGTAAATAGTCTGGAAGATAAACGTATTTCCTTCAATAGAGTCAAAGAGCAAATAAACTGAATATTTATTGTACATGATACTTTTTTCTATTGATAAACAATGGCTTAAAATGCCTACCAATGCTATCTTTCCAACAGTTAGTAGTTAGTAAGATATGAGGTCCGATCGATACACAAATTATTATA